GCCCTGCCCCTGCCAAGGTGGGACCTGCTGCTGGCGACTGAAAGGACTCCTCTCCCAGTTCCTGGAATAACACTCTTTATTAGCACCGCCTGGGACAGGTTAATAAGGTTCGTGGGCGTTGGCAGCAGCGTCTGGCTGCAAAACTGTGTTTGAAAGCAATCTGGGCTCTGGGAAGCAAGGCCAAGGTGGAACACGAAGCAATCTGCCAATATCCTCTGGGGGGAGCCCGACCAAAGCTCTGCTCCTTAAAGCAGCGTTGAACCTGCCCAGAGTGTATTTCTCACCCCACAGGCGTCCCTGGGGTGGGGGGGAGGCAGGTTCAACCCCTCAGCTGATCCCAGCAGGTTCAGGGGAGTCTTCCTCAATTTTCATCCCTCTCCCCAACTTACTTTTATACAAATTCTTTGTGTTAAGGTGGAGCTGGAGTGGTTTCAGTCGTAATCACCTTTTGTTTCTGGTTGGTGTAAAGTTCTCTTGCTGTACCTAATGGGAGGGGGGGTCGTGGCTTGGCACCTGAGGAGGGGGTTGGACGTGGTTGTTGGTTCTGCAGCAGAACACCTGGATTGTCCCTCGGCTGACAGGTACTGGAGGGTCTCATGATCTTCCCAGTACCACAGTGTTCCCCCTTTGTGCTGGGATTTGAGTGCTGCAGGAAAGCTGGGCTTTGCTCACTGCCCCTTATTTCCTCAGAGCAGCTCATCCAACTGGGGCTTTCTCATCCTGCCTTTGCTCTTCCCCTGGCACTTGGGCTCCATCTTGGCCATGGGACTGAGCAGCCCAGGGAGGGGTTTTATACTTTTGTTCAAGGGCAAAGCAGAGGGAAATGTTTAGGGCAGGAAGGGAAGAGGATTCTGGCTGATCAGGAAGCGAGGGAGTTTCTGAGCGACGACCGGAGTAACGCGCCTTATTTCACCCAGTTTGTGAGCAGTTGGATCCCATTGTCTTCAGGGGGCTTGAGAGCATAAGCATTGAAACAGCATTTTGTGGACAGCCTTGTACTCTGTTCTGCTAAACTGCAAAGCTGTGGAGGTTCTTCCTTCATCTTCTTTCATCTTCCTTCCATCAATGTGGCCTAAGGTTTGTCCAGCTCGGCAAGTGCTTCCTGCTTGGTAATTCTCTGCCAGGCCTCAGGGATTTCTCCTCTGCCTTGGAATTTCTTATCGTGCCAGGTTTCTATATCGGTCCTGAAATGAGACACAAACCATTTCCAGTAGGCTTGCATGGATGGATCAGGAAGAATTTTCCAATTGGAGAAAGGAGGTCCTGCATCCCGGTATCTCTTGTAGGGATAGATGGGGTAATCCTCTGGGGTTGGGTAGAATCGACGGTCACTTGCAACACTGCTGGAACAAATATCAACGCACAGCTCTTCTGTTCCTCGGAACCACCATCCCCTCAAAGCTTGTGGTCGATGGAAGAGAAGCTGATGGTCTCCATCGTGTCCCTGCATGGTGTTTGTGCAGACAGCCCCACAAAAGGGACACTGTGCCCAGCACCCCCAAAACTGCTCTGCCAGGATGGTGTGAGGCTTCCTTTCAAACCATCTCAGATCAGCAACAGCAAATTCTTCCCTGAGTTTGTCCTTCATGGCAGGCAGTGCTTCTGCCATGGCTTTGCTCAGGAACTCGATGTCTGTGATCTCCTGATGCTCGAGGCCCTTCAGGTCACTTCTGGGCAAGTTGATCAGCTCTGTCAGTTCCCTGCAAAATTCATCCAGCCAGAGAGAGATTTTGTCCTTTTGGTCTTTTCTGTCTTTGACCCTTCGGGTTGATGAAGCAACAGCTGACAGGATGTTTCCATAGAGAACATCAAGGGAGGAATCTAAAAAATTCTCCAGCCTCCGGCTCTCACCTAAACAGTAACTCTCAACACGTCTCTCAATGTACCACTGAAAAAACTCTTCTGGGTGTTTAAGGTACCGCTTGAAATACTGAAACTTTTCTTCTTGTGCCAGGAATCTCAGGATACAAACATCCAGATTGGCTCTGTTGCCCTGGAAATCTGGGACTTTCCCCTGCATGTCCCCAGCGATGGCTTTAGCCGTCCTCTCAGAGATGGCCCGGCGAAGAGCTGGGGCAAGCTTGTCACGAAGGAAAACAGCAAAAGCTGTGACAGAAGTGGCTCCTTGGCAGGACATCTGGAAACATGTGAAGTAATCTTCTCTCTTGCTGTTCAGGTAGGTGACTGGGTCATTTGCCTTCCGGAACGCTTCGTGCATGGCTTTAAACCTTTCTGCTGCCGTTCCGCACAGGTACAGAGATAAATCTATGATGTAATCTTTGTTAACCCTAAATGGTGCATCGCTGGAGACGGAGTTCACACCTTCCTGTACTTCATGGAGTATTTCATGAATAAAGGTTCGACTGTAATCCCGTTTCTCCTGTTCCTTCTTATCAATGTTTGCCCACACACGCTTTATGATGTTGTCTGTGATGTCCTGCAAGATCACATCAACATTGGAAACATTCAACCCGAGGTATGTTTTCCAATCAGCAATGAAAACATTCAACCTGAGGTATGTTTTTGAATCCTTTTTCTTTGTGATGTGTTTCTTCAAGTCCAAGGAAAATCCTCTGTGTTTGGGAAATGACCTGATCCGTGCATGAAAACCAGGCTCCTTAAAATGCTCCAGAAGGACATTTTCTATTTCCACATCGATATCCACCCGTTCCAGTGGGGGAGCAGCACGGGAGACTTCAGCAATCCACTTGTTCCAGAGAGAAGTAAACTTGTCTCTCAGTTCTCTCTCACTGAGGCTCTTGCCTTTCAGAGTCAGAGCCAACTCCCTGCTCTTTCTCAGGAGCTCGTCTTCATATTCCGATTTCCTTGCATCCAGTTTACTCTGGGTCTTCTGCAGTTCAATGAGATTCTCACATTTCTTCTGAGTTTCATGAAGAAGATTCTCTTTTAGTTCTTCCAGCTTCCGCTCTGTGCTGCCTTTCCACTGGGACAGCATCTCACAGTGTTTCTCTTCCCTGAAATAATTTTTCATGTCTGTCACGATGGCATCACTTGTCTCTTGTACGAGCCCTTCCAGGTGTTCTCTGGTGACTTGTTGAAAGTCCCCGTTCCGAATTCTGTTGTCAAGTCTCATTTGTACGTCTAAGACGTGACTCCTGAGCCTCCAGGTCCACTGACTAAAGGCAGTTTCCAGTTTCCTGTAGACAGCAATCTCCAGTGAATTCTTGAAGCTGAAAACGAAGTTCTCGTTCAGCAAAGCATTCCAGAGGTCGCCAATACGGACTTTCAGGCTGGAGAGCGTCAAAATGCTGCCCTGGGACTCCTTGGCAGCCTGGAGAATTTTGCTTTTCAGTTGCTGGACGTTGTGGCTGTAGGCGGGGTTGGGTGGTGCCATTGGGGGGTTTCCTTCCCACAGGTGAGCAAAGTAGTGAATGTGGGTGTTCACGTCAAAGCGGATGACGTCGCTGAAGGAGGAGACGACACAGCATTCCTGCTGGGCAGCTGCCACGGTCATTTCATCCAGCTTTTCCTGAAACCGTCTTTGTCCTTCCATGTTCTGCTCCTTGGCAGTAACTTCTCCCACATTTTGGTGGACAAAGAGGCAGCTGGGGGAAAGATTTACTTTCTTCATCCTCAGAAGAGCCTGCACAGCGATCTGAAGAACATCCTGCATTTCTGAGGGATTTTCCCCAAAGACGTTGATCAGGGTCACGTTGCCGATGCCGATGACAAAGGTGGCCAGCTCGTTGTCATGGTTCAGGGACTGTTTATTGGCCATCTCTATGGCACGAAGGCCCTCTGTGTCAACAACCAGCATGTAATCAAAGCCCATGTCCTGTTGCAGCTGCTCGTCCAGTGGCAGGAGCTGCATAAACGCTCCCCGGGTGCATCTCCCCGCGCTGACGTTGAACTGCAGCCCAAACATGGCATTCAGCAGGGTTGACTTCCCTGTGCTCTGCAGGCCGAGCACAGAGAGAACAAACACTCGTTTGTCCCCCAGCCTCTCAATTAGGCTGTCAAAGATTGCTCCCACCCAGCGCAGTGGCAGGTAAGAAGCATCCCCATCCATCAGTTCCACGGGATACCCCGAAACCATCAGCTCTGCTGCCATTTGGGGCAGTTTGACAACATTTTCATTCTTTGAGCTTGTTGCTTCCAGAGCTTCATAGATCTGCCCTACCTCTCTCATCAGATGCTCCAGGCCAACGGATGAATCATTAATTTCATCAGAGAGGGCCTCCAACCTACTCAGCAACTCAGGGTTCAGACTGGTTTTTTCCTTGCTTTTCTTTTTTTCCAGGATTTCAGACCATAACTTGTGATAGTCTCTCCTCAGTTCCTCAAGGCGATCAGAGGAGAGGTCATCCATAAAGACCTTCATCCACTGCAGGAAGTATTTCTTGGTATCTGCTGGCTGTGACTGGAGAAAGCCAAGGAATGGTTTCATCAGCTGGTTGAGGGGGAAGGCTCGCTCTAGTTGCTTTCTTCTAATTGCTGCCTTCTCGGATTCAATGTGGCTCCGATGGTGCTCGATGCTCCTGCCCCCCTTCTCCTGCAAGCGAGTGAGTTCTTTGTCCTTTTGGCACCACTGGTGCCACAGTTTTCCTTGAAGAGGCAGGAGCTGGGATTTGATCTCAGACAGCTTCTCCTTCTTCAGAAGGGTCACCAGCTCCTTTGCCTTTGCTTTGGCTGTCACACACTCAGGTCGATCTTCATCCACTAAGAATCCGTGCAGGCGAGCTTTGTCCAGGCAGGCGTCCAGGCTGAAACGGGGGTTGGACCCTTCCAGGAGATTCCTGATTGTTTTGGTGAGCTCGTCCAACATCTCTGCTTCGTTTCTGTTCTTGATTCCTATTGTTATGGTTTTGCTGGATTGTCCAGCTGCAACCTTCTCTTTGTCAGTGAGAAGACAAACCAGAGGCGTTTGTGACTGCCACAGGTCACACAGAAGCTTTTTCCCTCTGTCGTCCATGTGCTCCGAGTCGGAGACAAGAGCCACGTTGAGAGCAGAGATCTCCTGTAAGAACTGCAGCTGCGCTCCGTGGTCCCTGGCGTCTCCATGCAGGTTACAGAAAGCCACACAGCACTCAAAGGTGTCATCGGGGCTTCCCCGGGGACAGTACCAGGCGATCTCCACAACACCTGCCATCAGCAAACACTCTCTGGTGCTGCCTTGGCAATGGCGGTGGAAAAAAGTGTCGTGTCTTTGTTTGCTCAGCAGAGCATTGAGGAGCTGAGACTTGGAAGAAGAGGCAGAGGTGCCAACGCGGATGAAGGACACGATGGGCGTCTCTGCCTGATGGATGAGTTTGTTATTGTGACTGCTCATCCTGGGCTGCTGTCCCGACTTCTCTGCCTCTTTCCAGCTCCTTTTGATTTGGCTGAGGGCCCAGAGCGGGAACTCGATCTGGGCAGTGCCCGGCTTGGGCACCAACAGGGGCAGCGCCAGTTGGCAGAAGGCCAGCTTGGTTGCAATGGACTGTCTCATGAAGTCATCAGTACAGTGGAAAATTGCCATCTGGAGGTCCATGGGGTGCAAGTGGCCATCACTGGTTGCAGGTCGAGGAGCTGCTTCCTTCAAACAATGGAGAAAGTTTTCAAAGGAGTCTGACGGTTCGTGCTCTTGTTTTGTGGTTTCTAGCACAGGGGCAAGTCGTGGGTTGCTCCCATCCCCACAAGTCAGGTACCTCATCCGATAGTCCACGGTTAAGAGCTTCTGCAGGAAGTGAAATGGCAGTTCCTGGTCCTTGCTGGGCTGGCTGTCGTGCAGAGATGTCTTGCAGATGATGTGGAAATGTCCTGTGCCCATTTTTCTGGGATAGTGACTTTCTAGTCCAAGGCGCTTGAGCAACTGGAGGAACTCTTGGTTTGCAGTGGCTTCATTGGCTTTGGATTCATTGGCACCTGACTCGGATTTGGAGGGACTGGAAGGCTCAGTTGTTTGGAAAGTGTCTTCCATGTCTTTGAGTATGTTCTGCATCCTCACATCATCCCCTGTTTCCTCCAAGCTCCCACCGATGAAGGAATTCAAGTCACGTTCCAGCATCTCCCAGTCTGGGCACTCCCTGTGCTTCTGGAGGACATTCTTTGTCCCAGTGGACCACAAGCCTTCCATGTGACCTTCCATGAAAAGCAACCGCTCCCTCTTCTGCTCTGGGGACAGCTCTTTGCTTTGGGGTGTCACGGTCAGACCCATCAGCAGAAGGGAGGCCTCAGCTCTGGCAGTATCTTGATCCTTCAGAGTCACGTACTGCTCGTGTGCCACTGCCATTGCCTGGGCCAGGTACTGAATTTCTGCATGGCCAAGGAGGTGCTGAAAAGTGCTGCTTCCCACCTGGTACCCTGTGCTGGTTGCAATTAAGAGCACCAAGAGTTCCATGTCCTTCTGAGCCCTTTCCTGGAGAGACCGCAGTAAGGAATGAATTGCGAGGCCTGTGGTCAGGGTGGCTTCTCTCTTTGCTTCCTGGACGGCAGGAGCAGAGGTTCCTGGTGCGTAGGTGACAGCATGGATGTGCTCCATCATTTGCTGCAGTGTCTGCAGGAGCTCTTCAAGTTCAGAGACATTGGGAGTTTTGGGAAGCCTGTGGTCAGTCTGGAAGATCCATTGCATAATGAAGGAAGACTCGGGGAAGTCCTTGACGGAATAGATATGAGGATCCAGGAGGCTCCTCAAGATTGCCTTGATAGAGGTGGAGT